AGTTAATATAAACTTTAGCTGTTTTATTTGTTACATCTACCGTTGGACAAATCACACAATTATAACTGTATTTTGTAATTATCTAAAACAAGTACTGAAAATAAATTATTTAAAAAGCCCGAATACTCTTTTAATTGGATTTTTTTTAATGATAAGAAACGTTGGTACATATATTGAATTCTATTTCTATAATATAAATAAATAATAATTAATTACATAATATTTCATAAATCAAAAAAAGAAATAACAAAAGAATTGAAATAATATAAAAATATTCTTAAAAATGTCTGGGAAATTCACATTCTTAGGTATTTCATATTTCATGTTATTTCATAAATCAAAAAATAAAGAATTAAATAAAGAAAATAAAAAATTAATAGAAAAACATTCAGAAAAATTTCTGTGAAAATTTTACAGAATTTTACATTCTTACGTTAAAAAGTCCCAGTTTATAATTAGAAAACCTATCAATTTTTTAAAACGTCTTTAGTTGTCTGGGGCAACAGTTAAGAGTTGACACTGGAATCCGCTGCAGAACATGGATATTTGAAATGATACTATATAAACAGAGAAACCGAATCGCAGTAGGTTTTGGCATGAAATGACCCATCATAGTTCAATGGATCTATATGCCGTGTACAAATCTAAATTTACAGCCTTCAATTCTCAAGTAGAAGCGTCTCTATTTCAGTAAAAAAAAATCTCGAGAGGGACGTTGAGCAAACACAAACACGACTTTACATTGTATATGAACTAATAAACTGTCTGTAATAATCACTTAAAACATTTTCCTGATAGTACTATTTTCCCCCATGGTACGGGAGTATTAGCCACACACGTGTTATATTTGAATATTTTTATGACTATAAACGATAAGCACCACATAAGAACTAACTTTCAAGATAAATGATTTGATTAAAGTTTTTCTATTATCGAGTTCCTTATTTTTCCCCAAATTTAATACTGGAGGGAACTATAGGTTTCTCTTGCGTCTGTCTGTCTCTCTGTCTGTCCGTTTGAACAATAAAACAGCGGAATATTCCGCTTACCTGATAAATATATAGAGCTGGAGATTTGTGGGCCCAGTATACAGGGAACAGTTACACCCCCCCCCCAAGTAACCAGGTCCAACATTCAATTCTCTCATTAAAAATAAGTAAGGACAACATAATATGTTTCTTACACACACTTTTAACGAAAAAGATTGCTAATTGCCTCATCGACTGGTTTTTCACCCTTAGATGCCATAATTCAAACATTCTTGCTGTGTAAGTTTTTAGTCTACAGAATCCTTTTAAGCATTTCCCTCGCGTTCTAAATTCATTTTAATCTTCTTTCAATGTATGTTTGCTTGTATATCGAGAACGGATAAAAACCGATAGGATTTATTGATTAAAGGTTAGCATTCAAATATAATTTAATACGTTCATGAACCGGGAAGTTTTTTAAAGCTAGATTTAAATTTCCTTCAGTATCTGTAACTAATTTTGTTTCATGGCAGACATATTTTTCACTTCGATTCGCAAAAGACATAAGATTTACTAATATTCTAGAAGGTAAGATTTTTTTAAAAAACAAATTCTTTTATGTATTATTAACATTATTTTTTATGGCTTCTTTGAAGAAATTTTCTTTGTTGGATTTAAGTCAATAAGAATTTAACACTTCTACATGCATTAAGAAGAGATAGAAAGATTTACTATTTATTAAGTTTTGTAACTCTATCCAATTTAATTTTTTTTTAATCTTTAGGAAAAAAATTAGTATGATTCTTAATTTAAAAAGATAATCGCGGCTCCTTGCACAATATATAAAATAATTCTAGTAATATTGTATCAATTGGACATTGTGTTACATGGCAAAATATATTTTAAAAGTGCCTTTTAACGTTTTTTTTATTTTGTTTCACATGATATGTTCTTGGTTGGTGTATTATAAATTGAGAATACCCAAATGTTTTTTTTTCGTGGTTTTTCATCAAAAGCAGCCGTCATATATATGTTTTTAGGAGTCTATTGCCCTGCCTACACACAGAGACAGTGCACCTCATGTTACTTCTGTATGTGTGATTTTTGTGTGCAATAAACATGAATCTAAAGAACAAGTTTGGTAACAGTATGTTCGACTGCTTTCCATGTTAAAAAGTACACATTTTTTCAAAGCTACTTTCTGAAATCTATAGTCATAAAATTTACTTTCAATCGCAAATTATTTATGTTTTAAACCGTGAATGTAAAATTTTCATTCATTCAATAAAGTAACATCTTCTTTACTATTTTAAAGGATAAATAATACTTCATTATTCTATGCGTTAGCAGAAATTCTTTATGCAGTATTGTCCTTTTTCGGCGCTACATTTGGACAATACATGTTCCATGATAAGTATGGTACATGTAAATGAGCGAAGTACTTAGATAAAATACTTATTTTCAAGACGTCAGTCCGAAAATTGCAATTACAAAATATCAAAGAACGTTTGATGAATTCAGTTTGTATCTACCTTTCATGGTAGAATCATACAGATGTAACATCATACCATTTATTGATAAAGTCCCCTTTGAAACATCGATTTTGAAAACTTCAAAAAATGTTTTCAACGCACACTTATCCTTGAGATGAGAAATCTAAAACATATTAAGGTTGTGTCGTCGTACTGAAGTTCGACAATGATAAGTTTTATAACTTAATTTGTGCGTGAAACTCTGTGAGCTTAAAATGTGCGCGAAGCCGTATATTTAGGTCTCTCTTTCGGATGAAGTTTCTAGAAGGGATTTTTATAAAATACAAATTAAACCGTTTATAGTTTTTTTTTTTGAAACTGCTTCTTTGTTTGTTTGTTTCTTGTGTAACGACCTTCTCGAGAATTTTTCACTCACAATGAGAAACCAACATTTGCACTGGAGAGGTGCGGATTCTGGACTATGCTCGGCACTCAGGGTCATTGAGCAGTGAGTGATCTTTTTAGTGTCAGTATCTAATATGATACGGGACCTCGGTTTATACGGTCTCGTACACAAAATAATACAGTGTAGGAGTTGATATCTCTCCACGTTCTCTTGCGTTCAAAAGTACTTAGTAATACTACTCTATTCAAAGCTATATATGTCGTTTCGAAGAGAATACTTTCGCCCTTTGAAACAAATCTAATTATTGTCAGGGTAGCTTTGTCGTTTACTGGTTTTTTTTTTTAAATAAATATTGTAGTGTACTTATTTTGATTTTCAAAGAGAATCAAATATAGACTTTTACATAGAATAAAGCTTCATTGCAACTTTCGTGATACATGTACATAGTGGATAAATGAGATTATTGCTGGATCTTTGTTTTATCACCAAGATAATACGTCGATCATTTAATGCCGCAATAATAATACTACCTTTTCTGATGGCAAATTTATGGGTTTATTGCAGATTTGCATGTAGTATTACATTCTTTTAATTTTTTTTATAAAGATGTTTTATTATTAGTCTGCTGATTTATCAGTCACATAGAACTTATCATGTAGCAAGTCGACAGAATGTGGCATACCCGAGTGTCATTTCGGCTCCACGCAAACTTATTTTAGACGTAAAAAATAGGTACGTGACTATTCCTTTGCCTAGTACTAGAAGAGGAAGTGCCATTTCTATCGGATGAAATATTAAAAATTGAAATCCAGTGTAACTAAGAGGCGTTGGATCAATTAGAGTACCATTATCATCAGAGCTACTAGAGGCGTAAAGAAATCAATTTTCAAAATCTTTTCTTCAGGACTACTGTCTCTTTAAGGTAAAAAAAATTCTCGAATGGGACGTTAAACAGTATCTATTAATCAATTATTTTTTTATTATTAATAGCATTTCCTCGAAATCGCTTACATTTAGCATCATTAAAAAAATCAATGAAGGTATCTTGGTGATATATGTTCTTGAATTATTTATTTCGAACTATATAAATACCTTGATTACACTGGTGTTGGCCAAAAGACCTTGTAAACTTATATTAAAGCCCTCATCCAAATAAAACGTTTCAGATATCCAAAACAATAAAAAAAAAAAAACGCTTCAGTATTGAATTTTTCAATTACATGTAAGACTAAAGAATTTTTAATGGCATGCTCATAAAAGTTGAAAGTACACAGGAGTCACTTGAAACTAGCATGTTTTTCTCTAGCATGACCTGTCCTTAACTTAAGTTCTATGTTTTTCTGTAGCATGACCTGTCCTTAACTTAAGTTCTATGTTTTTCTCTAGCATGTCCTGTCTTTAACTTAAGTTCTAACGTTCGCATTTTTACTTATTATATCCCTAAAACATAAAGATGTTGCCATTTCTCACTCTTCAAATGTTTTCCTCTTCGATAAATAATGTTCACTGGAAAGAATCTACGAGCTTAAAAGAAGAATGTTAAATATAATTTGATAACATTTCAATTAAATTTTCGGTTTAAGAAAAGTTTATTCAACATTAAACAAAACCTGCAAATGTATTACCTCCATTTTAAGATATTTGAATACTTTTGCTCACTAGAGTATTTGCATGCGAATCCGTTAAATGAAGGGATATTTAGTTCCAGAAGAATTTCTATGAAAAGGGCATAAAACAAAACCGTTTTGTTTGTAAGAAGTTTCAGATAAACTAGAAAATTGTGGGATCTCGAAGAAATAAATACATCTATGGAATCACACGACCATGTAAATATAAATTTCTAACAATTTGTGAATATCTCAAAATTAATTAATTAAAGTTGTTTGTAGTTTGACACATTGATATTAGGTTTTTCCCCTTAAAACACAAATGTAAGCGTAATCTAGCTTCAGCAATTGTGCGCTTCTTGGACATTTTGGACATTTTATAGATATTAATAAAATCACTTAAAAGAAGCTTATGGTCTGCAAAACTGTGTTAAAGCTACGAAATATTATTAAGTCGCAAAAATAATTTCCTTTTAAGGAAACATTAACATGAAACATAAATTAAAGAACTTTCTATTTTTGTTCGTACAGTCAAATGGCGATGAAATAAATTGGCTGAGATGGATACAGATATAGAACTATTAGAAAAACAATTAGTTTCCGAGGAGGCCCTTACCAGACAGAAACAGGTAAGGTCAGCTTACAATTTCCAGGTGATTCTCAAGCCAAAACGTTAAAATAAAGTTTAAAGAAATTGAAACAGATGATTATAAAAGGGGACAAAGACTGGAGCTACAAAAAAAACCGTCAGAATCAGAGTTATACACGAGGGAAACAATTCTTCATTTTGAACCAAATTTCTAAATTTTACCACAGCAATTGTCTATTTGGTCAAAGACTGTAGCTACAGTAAAAATGTCAGGATCAGAGTTTTGCAAGAGGGAAATAATTCTTAATTTTTGATCTTAATTTCTAAATTTTACCATAGAAATTGACTTTTTATCTGTATATTTAATCTTATGCTGAGGTACTTATTCGTCAGGTTGTAGAGAACCTAGTGGTCCAGCACTCAACCAGAAGAGTCCTGGCCTGGGGGCCATAAAACTAAGACGAGCTCACTTTTGATCTCAGTCTCACTTTTCCGCTATATATTCCTTTTGAAAAAATGAGATTGAGATCAAAAGTGAGTTTGCCTAAGTTTTATGGCCCCAAGGCCGGGCCCCAGGATCATGAAACAAACTTATACTTAAGTCAAAATTTCAATTGCCTATAAGAATATTAATGAATTGTGGAATTTTTTTCCGAAATTTGCAGATAACAAATCTTCTGAGATACAATATTAAAAAAATTTTGGTCTGCTTGAATTCTATAATTTTTTATTGTTATCAAATAGAGATTTTGACTTAGCTTAAGATGTTTTATGATCCCGAGGCCAGAACTTGGATTCTATGCATATCATTTTAAAACTTTTTTTAGCATCTAAAATGTCACCTGATCCCACCTCTGATGTTTCGGAGGTCCGTGTTTGCTCTGCTCCTATTTTGTATTGTTTTATGGAATTTGACCTTTGATTACTGAATAATTCTTTTTCTCCATGTTTCATGTTAAACATCCTTAACTTAGTTTAAATCTTTATATCTTTTTAAAATGAAGGGTATTCTTGCCTTTCATCACAAGTTATTGACAATTAAGTCGATGATAAATAATATCAACTATCTCATTTAAAGTTATCATATTAGTTCAATGGTCAATACAATGACCTTGTTTGTTAGTACAACCGATCACAAAGTCATTGACCAACGTTTTCATACTAATAGATCATTGTTGAATCATTAATTATTTTCACACTGCGTTAATTGTAATTATTCTTGTTGACTTCCTGTTCGCTCGATCATAACAAGAAAATATTGCATAAGATGGAGGTGCTCTCTTCCTAATGACACCTGATTCGTACTATCAGGTACATTTTTTCTAACTTCATGTCTTGTATTGTTGAAATCAAATATAAGATTTCCTATTAATCGTTGTTCCATATTTCAATATTTTACAAATATTCTAAATTAGTATTGAGTTACATAAAATTTGATTGTGTATTTTGTAATTCAGGTTCTTGCCATTCGTTTACAAAGAGCAATACGGGAGAATAAACTTCACGAAGTTAAAGACTTTATTAAACAGGAAGCTGACGTTGATTACAAAGATAAGGTAAGAATTCCTTATACGTCAAACTGAATTTAAAAAAAAATAAGAAAAAAGAAGAAAGACATTTCTCATTAAGTTATTATGTGCGGTTATAATCTGTTGTATGTGATCTTGAGCCGATAACTCTAATAGTTTCCTTTTATTCTAACCTTCGTCGTTTTATGATATATTATATCATTTTAAGACTCACATTTAGATTCAACATTAGGATTATCACGTGATCAAATCATATTTCAGCAAAAAGGATTTTATAGTAAATGTGATCACGTACATTCACCGACATGGAATCATATCCAAAACTCTAAAAAATGACATTTTACATGTATTCCTGATATTTATTTTTTTAACGTTTAATAGTGTTTCAAAGAAAAAAAGTGCAGTGTTAAGCATTTGTTATAAAACATTTTTTGTAATTTACAAGAATTTAATGAAACAAACTGATGTATAAAAAAAAAATCAATTTTCTTTTAAAAAGTTTTTTAATTACAAGAATTTTTTTCGCAAACAATGTTCTGATTTCATTAATGTAATTTACATCCCTGCAAACGTTTATTTTGTTAAAAAATTAATCCATTGAACCATCGATTTTAAACCCATTAACGTCCCCACGAAAGGTAATTTTTTTACCCCCAGGAGTTAAAATGATTCCACTGTAATTTAACTTTAGACAGGAAGTGCGGCCATCCATTACGCGTCACAAGGCGGGAATCTTGAAATTGTGAATATTTTAATCGACGCTGAAGCCAATGTCAACACTTTTGATAGGGTACGTATGATCTCTAAATTAAAGTTGTGACGCTCAAGTTACTCTTTTTTTGAATGAAGATTGAAATGATTTTCAATAAATAAAATCTGATCGTAAAGATTTAATGTTCAGTGTGAAAAGTGAATTCATGTATGCTTTTCTTTAGATCGACTGATTGATTAATAATTGTATGATGTTTTACATCCCATTCAAGAATAGAGACGTCATCTATAAGATAAAGAATTGTATTTAGGAATTATGTATACCTTAATACGATGATTGTTCTTATCTACATGCAATGTTTATTTCTCGTATTTTAATTATAATATTTATCAGCCTGATAGCAGATAACTGTGAAGATTCCGGTTACATATATAGTTTTCTTCTCAGAACTATCACACGCCATTGCATAAGGCTGCCATGAGGGGACATCTTCATGTTGCGATTGCTTTAGTCGCTGCTGGTGCTCAAGTGTGTGCACTTGACTGGGTAAGTACCGGTAGGTTCTTTTTTTCATATTTAATATGTGGAGATAATGAACTGTATTCGAGCTCAAAAGTCTATTTAAGTTTAATATCACAAAATAGGAGCGAAGCTAACACAGACCTCCAAATGCGTCATATGGAGAAGTGAGCGTCCTCTGCTGTCTTCAAACAGAATTGGAGATCATTCAGACCTATAGCAGAAAAGTAGAAAAATAAAACAAATTTGTTAAAAACAAGTTAAGCTTCACATCAAATTTAGAATAATAGTATGTGCTTTATTATTATTTTTTTTTTACTCAAATGTTCTTTCGAAATAGAAATTAATGTTTACTAACCAATTTTTCCTCCTCTGCTAAATTGCCCAATAATTGGAACTGTATCCACACAACGAATAGATACAAATGTGCATTATATTTTCGGAATTTTTAATTTCACAAATAGATTTGAAAACATATATGTACTCTATAAGCATTTACAGTTACAATATATTTTGAAAGAGGAAAGTTATACGAAGTTCAATTTGGTACGCCTCAAAAGCACACATACAAATACACCCTCACAAACAAGCAGAAGGATCGAGAGAGAAAAAGTCTTTTCCTGATAAACATATCTTTGAGTATATGAATAAAACGTTATCTATTCCTTTGGGAAAATATCAAGGTATGCAAAATACTTATCAAAATTGAACGAGATGCAAATATGGTGATTTCTCTTTAATTGAATTTAAGGGGACTCAACAAATTTTGTTCTATGCCCTCTCTATATATATTTATTTTACAGTATTGTTTTTAGATATTTTGAGATTGGTCACTTTTCTTTTTATTTTCAACTTTTACATTGAAAGTTTATACCTCGCAATACGTTTTTTCGATAATATTTGTAGGAAAATTATTCTTCATTTGAGAAATCAATACTGAACAAACATTATGAGATCAGCAAAGTCTTAATGCTTTTCGGAGCAGAACCATTTCTAAAAGACTGGGTAAGGTGTACATTTTTTAATGTGTAAACAATAAATAATTTTTCCTTAATTTTAATAGAATATAAATAATATATATACGTTTTACATATCTATTTTCTTTATTCTAAACAAATCAATTCCATTTCTTAAAAGAAAAGAAACATATTATAGCAATATTTTACAATGAATGAAGAATGTATCTAACTGTATCTAAATGATGGTGATTTCAATTGTTGTTGCAGGATTGGATTGAGGACGACTTATCTAAAACTCAAATCGACGTTCTGCACGCAATAGAAAAAAGTATTAGTTTATTGACTGGTTATCAACATGGGTATGTTTTACTACAGTAACCGTAGTACGTTTTCATATTGTCACGTTTTCGTTTATTTTTCTTTGAACCTTCTCTCTCTCCAACAATTCAAATGACCATATTCTTTTCACTAATAAAAATGCATTTTCCCTTCAGACAGATTTTATACAATGTTGCAAAGATTAAACCGGAATCAGAACACAGAATTGAACATCTAGGTGTGACTATTGATTCCACGAAAGAAAAATCAGAGTTTTTCTTCTTCTGTCGCAAACTTGCTTTGAATTACACGGACATCAAGCTCTTCCTCTTGGAGAACGAGGTTGTCAAAGGTGATGTTTTTGAGCTACAGACGTGGAAAAGAGTATCCCGTAAGACTTTACGATTAATCATTGACATTGATGGAATAACGAGACCTAATGAACATCTTAAACTAATATCTCCAGATGGCGATGTAGGGAAAATACACAACTACGATAAACTGCAAGAAGAAAATGTAAGAACTTTTTTATGTCTGTTGTCTGTGTTTTGTTTTTCAAGGGTAATATTTTCGTATCTGCAACCTTTCGCTTCCTATTTACATGTTATTTCGTAGAATTGACAGATAAGGCTTAATAAGACAAAAGACTTGACATAAAATAATTGTTTATTTGGTCTGTGTTGACTTTTCTAGCCATAACCGGAAATTGTGCTGTTATCTGTTCTCAAAAATAATGACTAAAACTTTCAGATTATTTTCCTATTCAATTGGAATGTAAAAATACAAAAACCGTCATTTGAAGCGAATTTAAGAAAGACTTTTAACATAAAAGATGAAAGAAAAAATATTCTCGGTTATTTTCCTTATATTGTTCTATAAAATTAATATGAAAAAATGCATGCTTATGATCAAATGTGTAATCCCAAGATAACAAGGATAACCATAGATATACACACAGCACCCAAAGGCACAGTAAGTTTTGCAGTAACTAGCATTGAAAAAGAAGAGACCTTTGCCATATCAAGGGAGTCGCAAGATATTTATCCGATATCTGAACCAGAAGCAGAAATTCATTTACCAAAAGATGCTTTTGAAAATGTCGCCGAACTAAAAGTAAAGGTACCAATGATTTTGAAAAAAATATGTTACATTTACATGCATGGCTTGTTTTAATTTTTTAATCTTCCGGTTTCATGGATTTTAATACTAATGTACATTGAATAACCGTATAATTATCGACTTTAATCATCGATACCTTCCAACGATTATAAAAATTAAAGTCATTTATACGACTGATTCTAAACTGAACGTTTACTGATCCTGAACTTGACATCCACTTTATTAACTGAAAATGCAATACCATTTCTATTAACTTCAACTATTATTAAATATCCTTTACAAGATCAAAATTCAGCAAAAACATGCATGAGTTTCATGGAAAAATCTCATACATAATAGGTAATGGAATCAAGTGAAGCCAACAATGACGAAGCCGAATCGACTGGTCCTTTAATCTTAACGAACGTGATTGACTTGACCATTAGTGACAAGCAGCAGCCTAAAAAAGAAATAGCAGTAAAACTTCCCATACACCACAGTCAGGGGGATGAAGAAATGTGTGTACTGGCTACGTCACAGGACGAACCCGATGACGCAGATGATTGGGAGGTACGTAAATTGAACTCATATGATTATTTGTTGAAAAATATCATTATCCTTCCTCAATTATTTAAATATCATAAATATTTTGTCATTAAGAGCTCTAGAATTAGTATATTTAAACAAAACAAAATAAAAAGCTGCATTTGTGACATCTTATGAGGTTATTCAATATGGATATATGTATAAACAAGAATATTTTCAGTATTTCATTGAACTTTATTGTAGGTATTAGATGCAATGACAGATCCATCGAGTAAAACAACCACGTTTAAAATTAACCATTTCTCAGTGTGAGTTATCTCGCGAAACCAATTTATTTTTAGAAATTTAGAAATACAGTGAAACCTGTCTTATCCGACATGCACTGAGAGACGAATTTTATTTCAGAATAGACAGGGTGACGGATTAGACAGTGTATAAAAACTGGAAAAAATAGAATCGGAACTAAATTTTACGGCAAAATTCACAGTGTGACGGATTACGCAGGTGTCGGGTTAGACAATTTTCGCTGTATCGCCATTGAACATGAAAATAAAAAATTCTAGTCTAAGAAATAGACCTCAAAAGTATGCGGTTCAAAATCTTTTTTCTGTTACTTCGATGTCATTTTAATTGTTTCTGGAAGTTGATTTAAAAGTAAAAAAAAATAATAATTGATTGATTTTTGTCTTTTTTATAACATCCATATCAAATACTCACTGGTTGTAGATATGCTGGTGCCAGTAAGAAAAATGTATCAAACAACAAGCAAGCAGTTGTTGATGCTGTCCAGAGATCCCGGAAACGAGAACGCAAAGTAGTCATGCGCGCCTTTATTAGACCGGAAATGGAAAGTGGGACATTTTCACTTGTGTTGGAGTGTCTAAAACCCAGAAACCTCTGGAAACGTAAACCGAGATGGGAACTTGATGGATATCAGCTTATGCAATCTAACCTGGGACCATTTATTGTTCCTGAAAACCAAATGTTCAGAGTGAGATGTTAAATATTATTGTTTTGATACTTCAAAACATATTATACAATCATATAAACTATTCTGTAATTTTAAAAAGTAGAAAACGCAAAATAACAACAAAAAACTGAAAAAAAATCTTTATTACAATCTAATCATCAGTGTATAACTGGATTGCCAAATTATTTGTCACGATTATTTTTTTACGAATTTAAACAGATTGGATTTAGCCAAAATATTGAGATTATTGATGTTGAGAATATAATGAAGAAAGGGGAAGAACAATTAAAGGAAAAATCAGAAGAAAAGAATGATGATGAATACAATCTCAACATTAAAATTCCCCATGCAACCTTAAATTTTGTTGGAAGTAAAAACAAAGGTAGGATGTACTTTTAATCAAAAATAGTTTACACTCTTCTGTCATTACCATGACCTTGATAGCAACTGTATTCAATCATTTTGTTATATTTTTGCTGACATTATTTTCTATGCCTATTGTTTTGGGGGTTTTCATGCTGGATTGACTTTAATAATCCAGTTATATCAATACTTGATAAGAGCTTTTGATCTCATGTCTGATTTTTCCAAGGGGGCCACTGTTTATGCCCTGTGGAAAGATATCTATTGTCTCTGGATTTCTTTGAGGTTGATAACTCTTGGTTATATTCATATTTTTCCTTTTGATCTTTAAATTGATATAATTATACTTTAGGAACTGGTTTCGGTAGCCTTTTATTTCTTCTTTAGATCTTTTCAATTTTCATTTACATTACAATTTTTTTTAGGATATTAGTGTGAATAATGCGATAAAAAATGCTATATCTCCAGCATAATTGTTGATACTTTAGACCATTTCCATAAAACAATTTGGTACAAGACTGCTGATTTTTTTTTTTTTTTTTTTTTTTTTTTGTTATAAAAAATGTTTTTTGAACTAAATATGCTTAGACATTCAGTATATATATATCTTTTATAGCAAAGTGGTTTCTGATTTGCATACACTGTTTTTCTGAGCTTTTCATATATACATTTCTATGACACATGGGAACAGAATTTTTTAACGTTATTTTATCTTGTTTAACTCGTGATTCAGGTATCCGGACTCTTCACATATTCGGAAAAAATGACTAGGAACCAAAGCGTCCAGATAAATGAGGCTCCACAGTATACATTTCTATGACACACTAAGAGGTTCAAGTTTGCTATAATCCTGATTTTTATCACTTCAATGGACTTTGGTCTTTATTACTGCTTATTATTTCCGTATATTTTCTTTAAAAAAAAGGATTTTTGTAAGACAGGCATTTAAAGTAAATACCCTTAAAAGGTATAACAACTGGTAATACGACAGCAAACCTGTTCACATTCTTCATCCTTTTCTGTATAACACTACAATGTTGAACCCTTTAATAATGATATTTTTATCTTTTAGGACATAATTTTACCGTGATTAAAATCAAAAGTGATGAAAATCAAGAAATAAGTGGAAAAGTGAAAGTAGAAAAGGAAGTACAATCCAGAGAATCAGTAAAGCAAGAAGTTGCAGATGTGGGTTGTGGCTTATTTAAAGTCATCCCGAAAAAGCACCAGGTTAAAATGATAGAAAAAACTAAAACTACCTACGAGACGTTAGTAGATTTTCCAATTTCATTACAATTGTCATCAAATGAACAAATTTCTAAAGGTATTTATAATACTTTTACTTTCATATTCGATCTAAAAATTTAGAATCAATATCTATAATTTGAAAATGTTAAAATTTAAGATTGTAAAGTGCAAACATTATGAGAAATCAAAATTAAATGCTTAGGAATTTTATCTTCTTCATGCAAGTAACGTTGAACTGCAAAAGAAGTTTTCGGTTTTACATTTAAGAAATAAACTGTTCAATATGAGAGAGACAGAAAAAGAGAGCGAGAGAATGAGAAATTTAATTCAAACTAAATTGCACAGAACAATTTGCAGCTGTTTTCTGTTATAAGTTTGTTTATCGGCCTCCTATCTTTTAAAAAAATATAAATGCCAACTTTTTTTATATGCAAGAAGTGTAAAAGAATTTTAGTTTAGCTGCTTTTTCTTAAATTCTTACAATCCACATTAAAAACTGTTTTCGAAGCCATAGTCATGCCTCCGGACACCGAGGGAAGCACGTTCGAAGACTTTCTTGATGATTTTGATAACAAATACCCAAGTAAGAAAACATTTAAGCACATACTAACTTTAACAAATACATATATATATCCATAATTCGTTATAACCGTATAAGAAATTCATACAGCTGGGGATCCAATATGACTTCGCTATATCCGTGAATTCGCAATATCCGTGTTTGTACTAAACGAGTTTTACTTTACATATATTCACATCATTCAAACTTATCTGTTTCTCGATGTTTTGCTTTAGCTTTCATTCCTGGCCTGGATGCAAGGACCCTTGCTAACATTGGCGAAAAGCTAAATAAAGATGAAGCTAAAATATTTGGCAGGAACTTAGGATTATCCAGAAAGGAAATAGAACTTCTTTTGAAAACATCCAATCCTGCCACTCAAATGTTATTAAAATACAGAGGTAAATTGACAAACCATGGTCAAAAGAATGTCATCATAAACTCATTGAAGACGATTGGACGACCACATCTGGTATCGCTAATGGAGTAAAATATGTTATATATGTTTGTATTCGAAGGTAAAAGCTTTAAAAAGAGTCTTCACGAAGACTTTTTTTTTTTTACTTTAATGGTTGACAATTTGGCACATAACCTTTATTGTCATTATAAAGGTCGGCAGTAGATAATGGAAACCCAGTTGATTTACCCTTATCTGCTAAAAAAAAGGGGGTCTCCAGGTCAAAAAATCACATAACGTACAAGTAAATGTAAAACCAACTAATAAGCTACGGTTTATATATCTGCTACAACTATAAATATTTCAATTTTATGAAACAACATTGTCTATGAAATATTATTAGCGAAAATGAAATATGAAGTTGTAAAAGATGACGTATTCACAGGTAGCATTTGATGATTGAACACATTTAAAATCTGGCAGCCATTCCTTGGCCATTCGCGGCAAATCTCAGAATAAAAACTAAAGTTATAAACAGCTTAATTCAGTAAAAAAAAATAATAATATAATATATTATCGATAGCAATTGCTTTTGATGACAAGTAACCTTGTCCTTTGTCAATTAATTATGTTTAATTATTTATTGTTTATGTAGATTGATCAGAAATTATGATTTTTTTATTTAAGGAATAACTGTCTAATTTTTCGATTTCATGATATGATCAATCGATTGCTTGCGTGATAATTTGCATAAAGCCGAAGTAATCGATTGCTTGCGTGATAATATGCATAACGCCGAAGGCGTTTTTGCATAAAATTATCATGCAAGCTAATCGATTGATCATCGCAACAAAATCGAAAAATCTTACAGTTACTGTAAATGTGTTATATTTGGCGTGTACAATATTTGGCGGAAATTGAATTTTCAACAAGTTGGCGTTAATTTGATTTAATGCTTTTTGAACACATGTGCGTTACATAAACCTTTATACACACAGCATTTAGCGATGTATTTGACTTAGCGGAGGCTGCTTTCCGCGAAATTCGCTAAAAAGAATACACAGCCAAATGTAATACATTTACAGTTTTCCTTATATTTGCATGCTATTGATTCCGCCAATCCACGTGCTACAAGCCCCGCTTCTTGTCTCTTTTTGTCCCGCCCAGCACGTGATTTTTTTAACCGATGATCTAGTACATTTTTTTTTATTGATGATCCAGTACATAGATGGAGAAATAAAGTACATCAACTATTTGTAATTTTATCTCAGACAAAGATATTGGAAATGTAAAAATTATAGAATAATACTTGAATGGCTTTCATCTATAGAAAGTCTCTATTGGAATAGATGTCATCAACTCTATTAAATAAAGTTTGTAGCATTTGACAAATAAAGCATGTATAACCCCAGTATGATTAAACTTACGTTTGTTAATTTACTTTTACATAAGTGTACCACATTTTGTGAAACATGTCTTTCAGACGTAAAATAACGTTATACATATTGGCATATTCCATATGAATTGATTGAAATACATGTACTTATTATCATTGTAAGGACAGAAATATAAAAAAAATCAATATTTCATAATTTTATTGAAAGATTTTATACATTTTATCCAAATTAAAACATTCAAGTCGTAAGCGATAAATATACTTTTCCTTTTGACCAGCGAGATACAAATAAGACAGTCCTGACAACATTTTAGACAATATTAACTGTTGTCATTTCATTTTATTTCTTGTTGTTACTAGAAGGAAGGAATTATAAATTTCCTATGCATCAAATATAATTTTTATCGATATGTTATACAATACCTTCTCCAGTTGCTTTAAAGTATTATATTAATTTGGTTGTATATTTGTTGCTTTGGTTATAAAAATAATTATTTTTATACTTTGTTCAATAAACATAAACTTTTCTCTCGATTGCAGACAGAATTTAATTTTTTATTTTGAATCGTGTCGTTCATTAAACCAGAGGAACGATTTAACTGGAGTGGAAGACGGAATTCTTCGTCAGAATGTATTAAGTGTTTTAGTAAGGTATTCAAGAATCTTATCAGAAAATAAAAATGTTAAATACAAACTATACAAATCCAATTTCTATAAATCAGAAGACATAAAATAATTTGCAAAAGAATACATGAATAAAATATTTCGATATCAGTAGAAAAAAAAATGTAACAATTTATGAGCAACTTGAAATTTACACTCAAAAATGTCCTGTTAAATGACGAGCTTTGAAACATTTATTATTCTATCGACATACCAGTAAGTGAGTTCAATCTACCCTAGCTACATATATACTAATCAAAATTTCTAAGTCCCCACGTAAGTTTTTCTTTTACACTGCTTTTATGATAAATAATTCAGACAATATAAATTGAAAACTATACAGGATAAAAAGGAGCAAAATATTTTTTTCACTTAATCTAATTATATTGAAGGACTTTAACACAAAATGTAGAAGAGTGAAGGCACGCTAGAATTAAAAATTCGCAACGTCCAATACTGTTTTTATCATCCGTGCAAACGAATTAAGATCAAGACAATTACTTCTCAAAGAGTTCACACAATTAAAGAAAAATCTTTATTGAAGGTTATTCCATGTATAGACTAGGTCGTCCTCTATATTTCCGCCAGATCCTGCTGCTGGAAAAGCGCTCAATTTCTGGTCCATCTTGTCCCGTTCATGTTCTATAGGGTTGAGATAAGGATGACATTGAAGCTTACCGAAATTGTTTATACCCAATATTAATCCTACAGTACATAAGGTCTTCTTAAACGCATTCCCCATTCTTCCAATTTGTTTCTAATAATTTGGATAATTAAGGAGACTTGCATTAATTTTTAATGGGTGCAGAGCAATTGCACGCGCAGATAGGTTCCTTCCACAATATTTAGTAATTCTTATGTAGTAGCCCTGTTGGTGTGTCGTTGCAGTACGTGTATACGCCTTGACCATGGGCACTTCCGGTTCCGGTTTGAGTGAATTTCCGGTTAAACTCTAGGGTGGTTAAGTGGTATTTCTTGAAAATCTAGCAATTTTTAATGATTATAAGGAATACAAGTAAGCTTTGTGCATCTTCCTGACGGTATTTTTAACGATTTTACATAAAATAAACAAATACAAAGGAAGGAAATACAACTTTCCTTTACTACCACCAGCTTGGACCATGGCAACTTCACTTGCACATTGTCGTTCGTACATACACGGCATTTTAAACAAGCTTTTTTTCTGTTTTTCCTAAACAGCTTAAGATGGAGAACACATGGCAATTTAAATAAATGGAAGATACACCCGAAAATATATGAAACTCGCACTTCATGCTTTTTAACAAAAAGGGTCATGGATGAGTAATTACACATTCGATTTCAATTTTCTTTGGCCGTACAGGCAATCATCGAAAAATTAAGTCAAAATTGTGAACAACTAGATAATTTATGTTAAGGTTTTTAAATACTTAAAATAATAAAAGTGGGGACTTAGAAATTTTGACAAGTATATTTAAATATAAAGATATAAAATCCTTACGGTCAACCACGTGGCGTAGTGGTGAGAGGGTCTGCTCTATAGTCGTGTATTCTGGAGTTGATCCTTACGTCATCCGTCTCACTATAAGACGTGGAGACAGGTCCTTCGGATGAGACCGTATAAACCGTGGCCCCTTGTTGCAGTGCTCAATGGCTCTGAGTGCAAGCCCAGGACAAAATTTGCAGCGCTCCATTGGAAAATGGTGGCGTCTCTATATGAGCGAAAAATTCTCAAGAGAGATGTTAAACAACAAACATATACTATAGAATTCTCACAAAGATACATACTTGTACCGGTGTATGTAAAAATATTTTACAGAATTGTGATACAATATACTTGAGAATTGATCTAAATTAAAATTAAAAATTATTTTAAAAATTCTTATAGAAGCTTATCCATTGTCAAGTTTCCATTTTATTGTAATATTCTACTATCAATTGAATATGTGTTTACACTTAAGAAATCATTCGATACTAAAAGATATACTCTGATTACAATTAACCGTTTAACTGTTACATTTGATAGAGTAAAACTACCGACAATAAAATTGATGATACAGGGCTTAAAACAAATTTGTTTAAAGTTCAAAACTCTATGGTTGTTATAACTTTTTAGCAAAATTACCTATATTAAGCTTGTATTGTGACTGACACATCTCACTCCTCCATGGCACCTGATCCCACCGCTGATGTTTCGGAGGACCGTGTTTACTCTGCTCCTATTTTGTATTGTTTTATGGACTTTGAAATTGAATACTGTTCGATATCTTCATTTCTTTCTTCTTACCTTTGTGATTTGTTTTTGGATGGGTTTTTTTCTAAAGGGTATATTTCGTCAAAGAATGGAGGCGAGGACAATCCATTGCTCTGAGAAGACATTTCTCAAATCTAAAAGTTCATAAAATCTTCTTGTATATGTTTTTCAAAATTATATGGTTTATATCATTTTTTTTACACATTTAATTCTGTATTTCATTGTTTTAATATTTTATTGATAATTTTTTTTTACTCATGTTTTTAAGATATGTGAAAACAAAAAAAGAAAAAGCTTCATGTATGATTCAAACTCTCTTCATAGTGCAGGGTTTGGGGTAAGACCCACGACGCTAATTTCTACGCTACGAAGTATATGCATTATCGATGTCTGTCAGTGTGATCTAAATGAACGGCTTTGTTGAAGCGTACATATTTTCAGAAGTGTTCGATTTTCATATGAAATGGGTTCAGAATCAATTTTTTGGACAAATGAAATCTACTTCACCTTTACGTTTCCATCATTTAAGCTTTTAAGAAGAATAGAGACTTGGCCCATTCATGATCAAAATTCATTTTTTATGGCTCTGGTAAACCCTTTCTCAACTAAATGTATTAAAAATGTCAACATTGAAATGAAGATTTTCAAATGATAAGTCGTTCAGTAAAATAAAATAATAAAATGTTTTGAAGATGACATTACTGAGAACATGACTTTAGAAAAATATAACTTTTCCATGAATTTTGAAAATTGAGAAACATATTATCTCAGAGCGGGGGATTTCCCACGCCTGGTACAGTCTCTGTCTTATCTTTACATAATGCTCACGGTGGAATTGATGAATCTTCATCATACCTTTATGATAATGATCATACCTTTTTAATCTATCCTTGTTTTTACTGTGTAAATAATGTTTAAACAAAAACCACTACAAAAACAAGAAAAAACAATTTGAAAGCAAATGTGAAAAAATGCATATCAACAACTACAGAAAAAGGAAAAAACAAAGCAAATTTGAACAAACACAACTACAAAAACAAGAAGAAGTTAAAACAATTTGAAACCAAATGTGATAAATGCATATCAACAACCAAAGAAAAAGAAAAAAAAAAAGCAAATTTGAAAAAAAAGGCATATCTATAGTTTCTTTAAGTCTTTTTCCACTCATTCTTATTTCTATTTTGATGCATCTCCCTTTTTAAATCCTCTTCACATGATATTTAAAAGCATATGGGGAAATTTATTTTGAAAAACATAGAAGGATATAAAAATAAAAGTTAGGAAAAAATTGTTTATACTAGTTATAAACCGAAATATTGGACAATCTGTTCCTTGACACTTATTGTACAGAGGAAAAAAACATAATTTACTAAAAGTTTAAATATTTTTGTTATTTAAAATGGTGAAACTTACGAGGTTTATCTATATTATTGGTTTCTCCTTGAAATGAGGAGAATGCTTGTGGTTTCTGATTGACAAAAGGCGATCAATAGCTTTAAAGGATATCTAATGACCCAAGAATTATGAAAACAGAAATTTAAGAGCTGTCCAAGTACTGGAAGTGTAAGCCTCCGACTTCGGTAAGTAAAATTCCCAATTATTATTGTTCATATACATAGAAATCGATACATGTAGATTGAACAAGCATGTTTCATTTCAATTTTTTTCCTTATTTATCAATCAGGTTTCGATTTGCTACTTGTAACAATTTTATTATCAGGACTCACTACTTTAATAATATTTTCTTCGGAAAAACTTATCCAGAATTTAATATGATAATCATTCGAATTTCACTTTTAAGGTAAAAGTAGCACAAAAATGGTATATAAAAAGTTTTTTAAAAATTGCATACCTTAATTTACAAAAAACTTAAAGAAATTAAGTGTAATCTTATTTTATTTTAATAGTTCAGGACGTCCATTGCACACCCACAGTAGCAAAGGATTAGATTTTTAATGTAAAAGATGCTCTATATCGGCACTATAAACTATTTTTAAAGGTTAGGTTCAAAGAACACGATGTCAGGCACCTTGGTATTTTACAAAATCTTTACCATCAAGCCTTAGAATCAAGACACTCCTGCGCAAAATGTAAAGCCCATAATTCTTCTATTTCCCTATATACCGGATTTGACAGAAGATCAAACGGACAGAAAGGCCGATGGACGATCTAAGAGTGATTTGCTTTCCTTTTTGGACAGAAAAAAAGGTTATGTAACTAACATTAATGAAACATATGGAGATAAGTCCATAAAACAATACAAAATATGAGCAGACCAAACAGGAGCCTCCGAAACATAGGAGGTGGGATCAGGTGTCATGGAGAGGTGAGCATCCCCTGCTAACCGGTCACAACCGCCATGTGCTACTTGTCATGAATGGGAAATAATGTAAAAAATCTGCCGTCAATTCAGTGTATATATAATGGACTAACAACTAATTTACAATATATCACATATCCTCCGGATCCCTGGATGAATTAGAAACACCCTAAAAAGAATTAACAAATGTCCTCGATGTCCCAGGGATTAATTTTTTTCTTTTTTTATTATATTAAGCCTGTTTCATATTTAACATATTTTAAACTAATTATTGAAATCTACATGAAAAGATTCAATCAGGGGAATTTTAATTAAAGTAACTTGAAAATCTTTTTCCACTGCATTTCTTAGCTTACATCATTGATTTTTCTGTCTTTTTCTAATACATTTACGATGTTGCATTTCAGACCTGTTTGATCTGTATTTGCTTAAAGAATATATAATAAAATCACTGTGTGTTTCGGAAAAAGTGATGGCCTAGACAATGTATATATAGATATTAAGTTTGATGATTACATTACAATCCCAGATTTTTCAATGTGAATCCATCTCTTGTGTTATTGCTTTAAAGAATCTTTAAGGTTGTATTCCATTTAATAAAAATCTAATATTGATAGGAATGAAATTTTCTTTTTACGTTCAGATAGGCTTTTTCTGAATGGGTTAAACTTAATCACGAAATCTAGTTCTTAGCTGAATGCTTAGAAAAAAAGTTAAAGATCCCAATTAATATTTTGCAATTAGCTATCCCGAGGAAAGGAAAAATCGATAAATCATGAGATTCAAAAGATATCCTTCGCACATATTGATGTTAATTAATTTAGAAATCAACTGTTTTACGTGTGGATTTTTATCATTCAAACACCTACAGTAGCTGAGTAGAAGAAGCCTCTTCTGTAAACAGTGATGCAGCTTGCTTTTGTGCTGTACTTGTGCTTCAGAACAGTAGAAGGAATAATACGACAACAGATTTTTATCAGATCAGAAGAGGATATTTTCACAGAGTGTTCGGATAGTTTTCCCGCTTTTTCAGCACAACATTGCTTATTGGAATGCCTGTCTGTAGTTGAATATCCAGGTCCTCGAATCTGGAAGAAGGAATTAAAGACATGTATATGTTGTGGAAGTGCGTTTCCTGGCTACAAAGTCAATCTGACGAGTTTCCCTGTCAACGGAGTTATCGGTTATACACCTAGGCCAGGTATATATCCATTATAAGTATAAGCAGATATTATAATAGTGAAGATTTAATAGTGACCATTTTAGTAAGGGTTTTGAGATCTCTAAACTTTAATATGGCTAACAGTTAATTTCGAAATAGAGCTAACTGTTAAAATTACTTTTAGCTAAAATTAAATACTGATTTTAAAAAACAATTCGCACAATTTACGCCTCGCTAAAAATTCCACATAATTTACGATAACACGTAAGTTAACATTTTATTGAGTTTGTTTGTTTAACGTCCTTCTCAGGAATTTTCCACTCATATGGAGACGCTGGTGAAGAGCTACAAATTTTGACCCATTCTCGTCATTGTCTGGCTTATTTTGTTAAGAGGTTGATTTCCATTAATCTTAACTGAAATAAATTGATTGATTGATTGATTGAGAAATAATTGATAACTGTTCAGCGACAAGACTATTTCTTGTTTCGATGAAATTAATAATTTGTCGAAATTGGGAAAAGCCTTTTGAAGGAAACATATGAAGATAAAAACAGTATTCAATGTTAAGAAAACCATTAAATAATACAAATCAGAAGCAGAACAAATAACCTCTAAAACATCAAGAATGGGATCAATTAAGTGCCCAGGAAGAGTGAGTATTCCTTACCGACCGGCCAATTCCGCCGTGTGGTCCTTGTTATGATCGGAAAATAGCGGAAAATCCGAAGAAAATGCAGTTTGTTTATAATAATCTATCAGTTAGTATGAAAACCGACAGCCATCATTTGACTTTCCGATAGATTGTATTTGCTGTCAAGGTCATTGTATCGACCAAAGGATTTCCACAGTGATGATTTTAAACAAAATGGTGAGATTCGTGATTCTATCGACTTCTATATCAAAACGTACATCATTCTAGAAGTTGTTTATACATAGGACATGCTTTTATATATCGAATTAACTGAGAGATATACTGAAAGGAAAAAGAAACGCAGGGTAAACTTTTGAGGTGAATTTAATATGTTTGTCTTTAAATACTTTTTAGTTTTCCTATCTACATTTTAAAATAATCTTTCAAAAAGATATAAACAAATTCTCATATGATTTTGTCAAATTATTCATAAGTTATTGAAGCTCAAATGACGATACCCCCCAAAAGTGAAAATCGAAAACTCTCATTATCTTCAATGTCTATCAAGTGCATTTGTCAGTCTTATTTCTCCTTTGCATGGAATTTCATCAGAGTGTTTATCTTTCAAATCCTGGCTATATTAAGCATGGGTAACCACGCAAAAAATAAGCTAAACGGCGCGCGCATGCGCCAGTGAGAGGAATACAACTGTAAGTTGACTAGCTCAAAAAACCAAATTGCAGAATTGTTTTCTTTCAAATTTTGTATGAATGTAATGATTATAATCATCTACTCTATAAATGGCTGTTTTTGTGGTAGTAAGGTGGCGATTTAAGAGATGGCAAGACGAATAACCCGCTCGTAACATGACTCTGTTTCGCGTTACCGTCATCGTCACGGTTGATTGAAAACCACTCCAGACCCTCTCTGTCAATGGCTAAAACGTTTTATGGGGAAAAATTTACAAGAGACTGCTTAGTAAACTGTTGTTGCCTTTTTCATTAATTAGGCAATTCGAAAACAAGACCCTACTGAACTTCCGTAAAATGTGCCAAGATTGCAATAAGTTCATAATGTCTCTTAATATTGAAAAACGATGTGCATACCTCATATGCATCAAATAATGCAACAAGATTTGTTGACAAACTCGTCGTTATCAAACTGCACGTGTTTTGGGCTTTTTAGCGTTTTCCCTACGTGACGTCATAAATTTTACGGTTGAGTAATTCTGAATACTGATTTTGATTCACAGTAACTAAATTTCCCTTCTGCGTTTCTTTTTCCTTTCAGTATATATACCACGTACGCTAGAAATAAGGATATATTGCTGTATAAGTATTGAAAATTTACGATTGAAAAGTTAATGACATCACGTTTATCATAAAGCATTTTTTATATTTTCATATACGTCTTTTTAGAAAAATATACCAATATGGAACAGATGTCCAAGATTCTGTGATATTTTTTATCGTTTCAAGCTCACCGGTAGACATTTGTATATTCTGTCAACAAATGAATAAAATTAATCATTGTTAATTAAAATACGTCGTCAATATACATAATTATTGAGTTGAAGCAGGTTTTTTTTTCATTTCACGTATAAGATTTTGAAAAATTCTGCTCCATATTAATACAAAAATTGATCTGTTTATAAATGGTTGCAATTGGTAAAATGGGAATTCCAAGAGATTGTTAAAAACTGGCCACATGATCATGAAACAGACTTAGACTTAAGTCAAATTTTCAAACACTAGTAATGTATTTATTTAAGAAATGAATTTAATTTTTGAAGATTCATGAGGTTATGAACTACGACGCATCAAGCCGGCATATTTCATGAAGCGTGTTAGCGCTTCATGATAAATATACCGGCGCGAAGCGTTGTAGTTCATATACCTCATGAATCTTCAAAAAATTAAATTCATTTCTTATATTTACATTATTTTTCTGATGACTTGCCATAAATTTACGCCGTTCAACTGTCATTTTTAAAACAAAAAATTGTGCACTATATTTTTTTATTTTTTGACGTCAAGAGCGGTGTAATGACGTAACAATGGAGATATTCATGCTTATTCGTGATACATACCTAATGTAGTTCATGAGAAAATATACTGCATTTTATTTTGTAAAGAATCATAGGGGAAATTTATTGGAAATGTAAATATTCAGAAATGCTTTGGACGAAAAAATTTGTATTTCAATTCCATATCTTGTAAGTATCAATTTTATATTTTTCTTGTCTTATTCGAAAAGATACTTTTGATGAATTAGAAAATTAAAAAAAAAAAAAAAAAAAAAAAAAAGTTACAGTATTTTGTATACTATTGTTCGATTCTTTGCCTCATTATACCCCCCGCTTAAAAAGGGGGAGGGTATATAGCAATCGGTATTTCTAGCTGTAGGTCCGTCCGTCTGTCTGTTACGTTTTGGGGTATCAATCTCTTATCCGCAGCTCCTCTCAAACCACTAAATGAAATTTGATAAAACTTTCACAGATTCTTTATTACATATTGCCATTATGCACCTTCTATTTTACTTTTTGACCCAACACATATTTTAGGTTTCCCGCAGCAAAACATGGACACTGCCATTTTATAAATATGGGAGGCGGGGGAATCATTTAGTGAGCTCATTGCTCAAAGTACCTCTATTTTTTCTGGGCTTTGTATCTTTAAATGACTTTTTGACATTGATTGAAAGATATAGCAATAAAATCGAATTTACGAACTTGAGAATATTTTAGCACACGCCTTAATGAAAAAAAACACTTCCTGACTTTTCATGTTTTATGCGACATACATTTTGCAGAATTGATATTTTTACTGGAAGAAAAGCGGTTATTTTATCGGTCAGGAATAAAAAGTAATTTGGCTAAAGTATGCTATTCTACATGTATTGAAAATATCTATTTACGTCCATTTCTTTGTATAATGATGGATGAGAAATATTTGTGTCTCTTGGTATAAATTTAAGGTACTTTTTAGCAGGTTAAACCGGATGTAAAAGTGCATTAGGAAATAAACATACACTGTATACCTTGCAGTATAGATTCTCGGCACTTCCTGTTGTTTTGTGTTTTCTTTTCATTGTCTCAGGGACAATTGCGTATACATAGCATAAAACCACTATTAAAAAGCCTTGAATAAACAATTATATTTCTACTTCACTTACAGAAGGATATACTTCAAAAAAAAAATCACCAACTGCACATTATGTCAATGTCATCTTTTTACCAAAATATCAATAGTAAAATGTCAAGCAATTAGTAGCAAATGTCACCGATTGTTCTTCACCAATAAAGCTTTATTAGTTAAATCAAACCGAGTCGCAGTTGTATTTAGTTTGACCTGAGAAGATAAAAACTTATCTGAAGATAAAGCTTTGAACTTTCATTAAACAATCTACAGATAACACACCATTGATTTGAGAGTTTATATTTGGTTATCTTATCGATTTAACTACATGATAGACGATGTTATCAGAAATATTGCCTAAAGGCGTTTGTTAATGATAATATTTACTGCGGTTTAACACGCAAAAACTATTGGTACTGTTAGCATTGAGCTCACTAAATGATACCCCCGTCTCACTTATAGATATAACAGCAGTCTCCATGTTTTGGGAAAACCAAAATATGTGTCGGAACAAAAAGTAAAATAAGAGGTCACAATGGCATTATGTAATAAAGATTCTCTGAAAGTCTCATCAAATTTCATTCAGTGGTATATCAAAGGAGTTGCGGATAAGAGACGGGTTACCGACAGCTGAAAAATCCATTAAACAATACAAAATTGCAGGAGAACAAACACTGACCTCCAAAACATCAGTGATAGGATTAGAGCCATTGAGGAGTGAGCACTTACCTTTTTCTAGCCAACGTACACATCTAAGCACTTTTGCCATAAATCTGCACAATACGATACGCTTTCAATGTGCTTTTTTAATGCTAGATAATATTTGTATACATGTAATTAAGAGGCAAATACTAATAGCGGATGCAACACATGTTTAAGCAAAGTTTACAGAAATTAAGCACTCTAAGTAACCCTTTGCATTTTGCAATTTATACTGTGTATATTTTTATCCCTCTCATAATGACTTTAATTTCGGAAAAGTGACAAGACTAATGCTCTCATTTTTTCAATATTTGCTAATGAGAATGTCTTTGATATTTTTTTTCAGAGCCATGTATCAAGAATTACAGACTGTTTTTCATTGGTTCAGAGGTGGCTTGTTTGCGGTATGAAATCAACACTGTTACGTACCCTGCTGCTCTGTCCAGCTGTCAGTCAGATGGAGGAAATCTTATTAAAATTAACTCTCAGAGCAAAAATGAACTTATCATTCAATTTATTGGTAAGAAGTCTTTTTTATCTTATAATTTTATTTAGGCCACCTTAAAAAATTGTTTGGACGACCTATCTAGACCGACTGATTAAAAACTGTCCGACTCTAAACTTTTTTTTTACGTTCCAGGACACGATATTTTTCTCTGCTTATTCCTCTTATTTCTTCTACAAATATGTTGAAATTTCTTGAAGAAAAAAACTTTCAAACCCACATGTACCTTCCGAGTCGGGAAGGGGAAACAAACATTATTTTAAAGGAAGCCTTATCGAGTTAAAATCTATATATGAGGAGAAAAAGGAGTTTTGTTTCTTTAGATATCATATTTCTGAATTTCTAGACCTGTCACTTGCAAGGCTTAAATGGACACTTATCATTAACAAGAGACTTGCTTAGAATTAAACATGATGGGTTTTTTCGCACTCAGTCTTATTATAACCTTCTTATTATAACCTTTTTATTTCATCGCACTTTTCTTGCTGCTTTTACACAGATCTTTATGGAAACAACGCGCAGGATATTTGGCTTCAGGGAAGACTGTTCAATTCAAGTTGTATCTGGGTGTTTGAGGACAATACTGTAATAACATTCAATTTTTGGAACAACAGTGTACCAAAATGTGATCTGACTCAACCACACATAAGGGCCAGAGCCGATAGAGGATTCCTTTGGTTTGACAGGATTTCCTCTGATCCCTTTGCTTACATCTGTGAAATGGATCCGTCTTTTTAGCATTATTTGAAATGTGCCTGTGTCTAAAGTGTTAAAATTTTCCTATAGGGAATTTTCTTTATGTATACACCTTCAGAAATTTGGATTATTTCATTAAAATTAATAATTATTTATGGTCCATAAATGAATACATCGCAACGTGTTCGAGGTTCCACATTCCATGCCATACACTGCGTAGTTTATAAACAAAACAGCATGGTAAGAGAGGGAAGCCCGGATTACATAATTAGAAAAACAAAACCAAAACAAGGGCTTGAAATGTGTGTTTAGAATTTTATTTGGATTCTGATGAAAATTTGTTGATAAATGCTATCATTTCTCGTATCTCCATGGCTTTCAAAGAAAAAAAATGGATGTAACTCTAAAAATGCACTTATGAATATAAAAATTATTGCCATTTGAAGTGCAAATTATTGTACAGAAAGATATTTTATTTGACATTTTGCCGAACTTTTAACAAAACGTTTTGTAGTTAAATTCGAAGAATTGTTAACTATTATTAATTAACCGTTATTTTTCATTATCAGAATTGCTTTTACTCTATATTGTTTACAAACCCTACATTGTATGCACGTGCCATTTGAGGGGTACAAGCTACCCTTGATTTTCCAAATTTTGTATGAAGAGAGAATATTTATTTTTCTCAAATGCTTACTTCAACTTTTTATCTTATTCCTGAATGATATATTGGGTAAATTTGAATGAAAAATCACACGATTTGCAGCCGTATTGCCGCTTTAAAGGAAATGTATCGGAAATTTCGTTTAACTGAAGAGGATCTAATCCTCAGTTTAAACGGCGGATTACTAATTTGATTGATGTGTGTTTAGAATTTTATTATTCTGATAAAAAATGGGTATCTCATAAAATTGTCTCTTTTAATTTTCCACTTTATATTCTTTATGGCTAAAATTGAAGCGAGCCTTTTTTTCATATCAATTTCAATTTTCCACTTTATATTCTTTTTCTAAAATTGGAACTGAGACCTGAGTGATATCGTCTAAGCTTTATGGCCTATTTTCAGGCGATTTGATTGTAACTGAATGTTAATATTTTTTTTAACTTTGTAGGCTTTAAACAATCTTGTATAAAATAAAGATTTCTCTAATGATGTTACTCTACTAATGATCTTTTTTTTTCAGTACTATATAGCATACCAACTACGAGTTCAGTTTTCAGTCTGACGCATTTGATTAAATTTTTTTTTATCAGAATATTAATTTTTAACCGACGGGTTTTAACAATCTTCAATGAAATCCTATTTTAGAAATCATGAACTTGTTCATAAATGAAACCAATCATTTAAAGACTTATTGAATGAGATTTCAAAACTGATTGCTCAGTTTTATTTTCTAAATATCAATTTTGACTTTAGATTACTTTGTTTACCGTCGCCCGTTCGTCGCAGTGGTTAGAGCAGCTGCTCTAGAGTAGCGAAGTAAGGAATTGATGATTAGGTCGAGGGCTCGAATCTCACTGCGGGACGTGGAAACCGGATGAGAAAGTATAACACGAGGTCCCGTATCGCAGTAGGTTTTGGCATGACCCCCCCCCTGCTAAATTGCCCCGAATGCCGATTATAGGTCAAAATTTGCAGCTCTCCACCGGTTAGTGGTGGCGTCTCCACATGAGTGAAAAAATTTCGAGAGCGACGTTAAACAACTATACAAAAAAAAACAACAAACTTCAATTACCTGGCAAGTATAGTAATGTTACAAAGGAATACATATTTACTCTTCATTGGTACTTGATCCCTCTATAAGTAAATTTCTTTTTCTATTATTCATGAATCGTTTTTTTTAAACCAACATGATTATCCATTATTTGCTATTTTCACTCGCATTATGTAGGTAGAATTAATACAAATTTTGTATGATTGTGTATGATGCTATGTTTAAGATCATGTTTTCAAAAATTATATCCGAAAAGAAAAAAAACTTTTCTTCTTCTACAATGTTTAGAAAAATACAACTTCAGCCGATATATTGATTAAGTTTTCTAAGCTTCTTTTCATTTTTTTTAAATTACATTTTGAATGACAGTACATTGTAAATTATTGAAAACTGTATTCTAGTTTGTAATTATAATTATTCCTGACTTTGACGTTGATTGATACAAATTATAATTTATGTGATCGTAAACGAAATAATTCTTTTCATCAGTAAAAAATAAAACACTGTTTCAAACGATTTGAAATAACTTTGACTAGGGAGACAATAAAATATTTCAACTTCGTCGATACATTATAACATTTTTTCAGTTCTTTTATGCAATTTGTCCTGAGTCATATTTGTTGAAATTGTAAAAAATCAATAGCTTAACTTTTTTTGTTTAGTAATAAAGATATTCAAAAGATTTTACAGGTTTACTTGACTTTTTAGAAAATTTATACGAGTATGGAAAGATATAAAGGTAAATTTGATAAAATACAGTAGAATATGAATTATTTTACTCACAGAACTACAGTTATGTACATGTACCGTAAAACAAACATAGTGTTAATCTTCTATAAGGTTATTGAGACCAAGAAACCTAATAGTTGCCCGCGTGGAGCAGTGGTAAGTGCGTCTGCTCTAGAGTCATGAAGTATATAGGGAGTTGATTTTTACCTCGCGGGTTCTAAACCCATTTTGGGAAGTACAGACAGGTCTTTCGGATGAGACCATATAAATCGAGGACCTGTGTCACTGAAGGTGCAAGCACGAAAAAGGTGCCTCATTGCCCAATGGTCGTAAGTGCAGAGTATAGAACAAAATTTGCAGTTCTCGACTGGCAAGTGGTGACGTCTCCATGTGAGTTGAATGAAACATATGGAGATAACGAACAGTTTTCAAGATTGAAATTCTGAAAATAATACAAAATAGTAGAGCAAACACAGACCTCCAAAATATCAGAAGTGGAATCAGTTGCCATGGAGAAGCGAGCATCATCTGCCGACTGCACACCCGTCATTTTAATATAAATTGAAATGCTAAATTAAACTCTCTATATTTTGTATAAAAAAAAATAGTTCTTATTGTGTCATAGACTCCAATAAAGAAGAAGGGTTTAGCTTTATCGTGCCTTAAAAGTTTAATGTTTTCAAAAAGTTTTGAAAATGGCTTAATTATTAGTTAAATTTATTACTTGATAGATCAGGAAAGAATATGATAAGAAGAGGTACAATTCTGGAAATGAGATGTCATTATTTTAATGACTTTCTCTATTTTAAACAGAAAAAAAAACCTTCAAAATGACCCATTTTAAGGGTAAAATTTATTTTCCTTCAGAAAATAGTGTCCACAGCCGTCGCCCACTATAATTTTTAGATATGTAGTGAAAAATTCAATAAAAATCACATATCTCAATATTTTCTGGAAAAAATTCCATTGAGAATTGACGTCTTCTCCAAAATTACGGGAAAATGCATGTTATGACGTCGCAATTACATGTACATGTACTTTTCAGAAATGCCTGTGAGAAAAATGATTTGTATGATTTTTCTGAAAGCATAGTTTTCCATTTCTCCAATTTTAACCATTGATTCAGAAAGCACGAGTTTTACAAAACAAAATTTCTCCACAAAGAACTTTAGTTTTATTTTTTTGATAGAATATATCCATTCTTAAACGGGGGAGTATATGGATTTCAAAGCACTGAATATTTTCATGTATTGAATTCACAAACATGACGTAAATTTCTTTTTTATGTTTTACCTTTAATTTTGATGTACATGTGTTCAGTCTATTTTGATATAATGTTAATATGATATCAAAAATGTGTTAATATTGTTCCTGACACACTTGCGCTCTAACAAAATTTCTGAAGAATATAAAATCGACTTGTGACGTCATAAAAACAAAAATTTTGAATACACTGCTTTGACACTATAATATTTTCTGTTAATTTATATTTCTCACAATTTATTTTCAGCACATTTCATTTTTCTATATTTTAAGAATTTTATTTATTATAATATTTATATCAAACAATTCGTTTAATAAAGGATACACAGAATTAATATAAATTATAAATTAAAGCATTAATTGTTCATTGTCAGAGCAGTAACAAAAATTGCATTAATTTTTTTATATTAAAATGATTCCATGTTTATTGATTTGCTTGAATTTTTGTCCAATATGAATAAGATTTTGAAAACTGAAATAAGGACAAATAATAATGAGCTAAGGGAATATAAAAGTAGTTCGAACAAGCCAATGACTAGATTTCGAGCCATTTGGAGGTTTTTGTTCTTATAAAACAATATCCTGAATCCCCCCCCCCCCCAAAAAAAAATACATGTTTTCCATAAAGATAATCTGTGGATTTTTGTTTTTATAGACGGCTGTTTTAGTCATTCTATGCAAGCTTAATAAAAAGAGTACTCTGTATTCTAATGATTTGTGAAAATGTATCCCTTGAACAATTTTTAAAAATATAATTCAATAAGTATTTTAGTGTTTGAGAATTTATAATGTTTACACCAACAAGAAAATACTATTCAGTATGTAAGCAGTACATTTTGTATTATAGTCTTAAAGTATCCTCGAGGTTTTGAACACATCATGAAGTCGCCCTTTTAAACATGACAACGTCGGGCCAGATAGAATGGTTTGAATTAGAAAATTCAGAGACTAAACTATGATTTTTCAAAAAGTCAACTATAAAATCTCCACTATCTTTTCCTCTGTGTGACATAAATTCTATAAACAGGTACTCCACCACGACAGCTTTAAAAAATTTCTCAGCTCCTTTTAAGATATTGGCTTCAAAAGTCTCGACATCCATCTTTATGACTGCCCTCTTAATATTGAATATTTCCAGCAGATCGTCTAAAAGAATTGCGTCAACTACTAATGAATTTTGCCCTACTTTATCGAGTTCCATTTTTTCTAGTTTCTTAACGTACGTTCCTCCAACGTTCTTTTCATAAGTTCCAAGAGCTACTTTTTCTCGTTGATATGACAACGCATTGTGAATAATAGTCACGTGACTACCTAAATTTCCGTCTTGGACGGAGCGACACAGGTGAGCGATATTTCCCTCAAGGGCATCCACAACTATGACATAGCGACCAAGTTTGGCAATAGTCAGTGAAAAAACTCCCACATTGGCACCGATATCCAAAAACACAACTTCTGGTTCGTTTTTCATTATATTATGAATTCTCTTTACAAGAGTCCCTTCCCATATTCCTCGTCTAATGATATTTCCGGAAATCCACTTATCTTCCAGTGGCGTGTACACATATATAAGTGTATCTTCTGGTCTGTGAAGTTGGCTTCGAACAAAATCAGGGGGTGGAACACAAAACTTTTCCATTTTTTGCCATCCCATTTCACTTCCAATTATAACAGTTCCCCAGAATTCAGGCTGAGTTAATAATAATGAGCTTGAACCCGAGGCACTAATTTTTTGATCGGGATCAGTATTCAGTCTAGTTACCAGTATTGTGTTTTGACTCGTGGCATCTATTTTCTCGCTAACTTTGAAATCGGTTCTTTCTTTGTTATTTACATGTAATGATGATTGTTCTTTTCTGGACTTCATAAATCCGGAAAAAGAAGAAGTGTACAGACACCCCATGATAAATCCCAATAATAAGGACAAAATAATTAAGAACGATGCTTTTTTGCCCCGGATTCTTACATACATGATACCTCTCTACAAAAAAGTAAATAAAATAATTTTTTTAAAAAATTTAAAAAAGTCAATATAAAACTTGAGAATCACATTTATGCTCTTGAAAATTAAACCTACATTTACCTACATTTATGTTCATGCTCTGATAACGACCTTTTCCAAACTATAAAGTTGTTAAATCGAGGATACACGTGTTATCCCTAGTTCAGGTTTGGGTCATAACAGGCAGACATTACAGTGACTATAACGAACAATAATGAAACGAATAAATTCAAATAACAATTTACAATAAAAAATTTAAACCACAGAACATTTGATAGATAGAGTGGAAATATCAGATGGAGGATCAGGTTCCAAAAAGGAATAAGCAACCCCACCAGGACACTATGAGCCCAATGTCTTCTTTTGGTCAGGTAATCGTTGAAATTGTACCTGTAGACATGTCAGCGACTAATTTTTTGCCTCCAATTTCTGTCAGACCTCACTCGATATTCTATTTAATTTCAAATTTCAAATTAGGGTCATTTTGTTTAACATTAAATTTTTGAAATGTGGACCATAAACGAAATTGTTGAACAATATTTTCATTAGTAGAGAAGGTATAAGCCTTACCTGTTCTACTTTCACTTGTTGAAGGCCTACAGTCATTTGTCAAGGTATGAATGTCCTAAGGTACAACTGGTAGAATGACTAAAATCATCATAACATGTAACTACACAGTATGTTTTAATTACATGTATCATAAAGTAGTACATATACATAAATGTACTCAAGCTTTTAACACTGCACAGTATTATAAAATCTACATTTGTTATTTCAGTGAAGTATGCTATTTCTCTAATTTCAATATAAACATCATTTGTTTTGTTTTATTCACTACATTATCTTTCTGGCCTTCCAAATAATTATATGAACCTTGCTCTGTTCCGTGTCCTCTCAATAGACAACACAGCTGTCTTCCAGCTGGCTAAGGAGCTCTGCTTCTACAGAAGAACAGTGGACATTGTTTCTTAATGTTTTATGACAGCAAAAGAGAAGTTTGATGTCATCAGAAGTCCTGTTATAGGCGTTGACCTTAAACGTCACTTTCCCACTCCTGTTGATTGTTTGTTGTTTGTATGTTGTTGTTTAACGCCCCTTTCGGGAAATTTTCTCTCATTTGGGTCGTCTGCGAGGCGCAATGGTTAGAGCGCTAATTACTTCAAGATGTTAATCCTTACGTCGCGGGTTCGAATCCCACTGTGGGACGTGAAGTCAAGTCCTTCGTGTGAGACCGTATAAACCGAGGTCTCTTGTCCCATTAGGTGCTGGCACGAAAAAGATCCCTCCCTGCCCAATGGCCGTGTATAGGAGAAAAAGAGAAGGTAGGGTAGCGGCAGAATATGACCGCTTATTTAATGTAAAAATCAGAACATTGGTAAAATTGTGATACTTTGTAGTTAAGAAATTAAAATGGTGCTTGCTTTAAAAGTACTAATTTGGACATGTATCTGAGATTTTTACACGTAAACTGCATCTGAAACTAATGTATAAAATATTAAAAATTTGGAAGATAGTCAAGCGTGTGCTGTGTGTTTTTCGAGACAAAGTGTGCTTTAAAACTTAAAAAAAAAATTGCATAAAAATGTGAAAATTCGATAACTGACTTATTTTCTGTGTATTCCAAAACTTAGAACTAATGCTTATTTTGTGCCAGGGGTGACAACAGGTTTTTAAAGATAAACTGTTGCATCATTCTGAAAGACACTCAAAATCAGGGGCCAAAAAGAGTGAAAGATTCTAGAAAGGGACGTAAAACAATACAAAAATAATCAATCATCACTCATTTAGAGACGCCACCATTTACCGGTGGAGGGATCCAAATTTTGAACTATACACTCCTGGCTATTGAACAGTGGGGATCTTTTTATTCCTAGCACCTCGGTTTACACGGCCTCATCTGAAGGATCGATTTCCACAACCCACTGTGGGATTCGATCCCGTGACGTAAGGGTGAACTCCTTACTTCGCGACTCTAGAGCAGACACTCCACTGCGTCACGCAGGCGACTAAGTTTGTTTGAAAATGGCCAGTAGTTAATTTGAAGACGCTGAAAATCATTTATTATTTGATTTTTCTGTTTAAGTCTGAGTCTGCAATATTTCAGGTTGGATCTTTTTTCCCTCCAGTATAGTATGCAAGGGAATATTCCGCCAAAGGTCTATTTATCTTGCTTTTATTCTTATTCTGCCTTCTTCTTTATTTTTTGTTATTTTTGTAACTATGTCACTTTATTGAATTCATATTCATCTTGATTACATTACACTTTGAAGTTTTATTATTCTTCATTTTGTCCTTACTTCTATGTTGCTTTATTCTTGTATATTCGTTCTACTTTTTTTCAAATTGATACACTTTCTTAAATAATTTTTATTGATTGTCTCTATCACAAACGTAAATTCAGCCAATTCAGCAAACTATGAAGCATATTCACTGAAGACGAATACAAGTAGTTCAAACAGTACAATGCATGAAACATATGGAGATAACGGACAGTATTCAAGATCAAATTTCCATAATACAATACAAATTAGGAGCAGAGCAAACACGGACCTCCAAAACATCTGAGGTTGGATCAGGTGCCAGTGAGGAGTGAGCATCCTATGCCGACCAGTCCAACTTGCCGGTTGCTCCTTGTCATGATGGAGAAATAACGAGAAAATCCGTCGTCAATTTAGTGTATAAACTACAGGTACTGTGAGCAATGAGCTCATTAAATGATACCTCGCGCCTCCCATATAAATAGAATGAGAGTGTCCATGTTTTGCTACGGGAAACCTTAAATATGTGTCGGTTCAAAAAGTAGAATAGGAGGTGCACATGTACAGTGGCAATATGTAATAAAAATTTCTGTAAAAGTCCCATCAAATTTTATTCAGTGGTATGAGAAGAGTTGCGGATAATAGATGGGTATCCCAAAGCGTAACAAACGGGCGGACGGACGGACATCCCGATTACTACATACTCTAATGCTTTTCGAGCGGGGGTATAATAATGGAGTAACAACTAGAGCCGAGCTCTTGCAAAGCAACGAATAGGTCTTCCGTTGGAGCTGTGGACAGGAAGTGCCGACCTTAGTTCAAGGTCACTTCACTTTCTTATATGAACAACCTCTATTCTCAAGAGGAGCGTCTTATGAATCATAATTACAAAATTATGCTTGAACATTTTTTCTCTCTGTCAGTGACCTTTATTTTGCCTTCATCAAGGTCGTGACACAACTTCTAATTATAAATTATCTATGTTTCAAGTACGAGCCTCCAATGATCTTTATTTATTAATTCGTAGCGTGGAAAAGAAAATATTTTTTCTGTCAGTGACCCTGATCTCTACGGAATAACCTTGGATCTGTGTCAAGACAAACCCTCAATCTCAAACAACTTTTTAGTGATTAGAAATTCATAAGCCTGACAGGAATTTTACAACTTTTTCTGTCAGTGACCCTGAATTTGTTAAAATGGTATTATTTTAGTCATCTGAAACCGGAGGACAATAAGCAATCAATCAAAGGTCAGATTGAATTTATACTATTTTCTGAGTCAAAATAGTACAAAACCTTTTTGTCACAAGAAATCTATGTATCAAGTATGAGCTTCCAGATATTCTCGATTACATTATATAAATGCCTCGGACAAAACATTAACTCTTTCTCTAGTGACCTTGAATTTGCCGTAATATTGCCTTGAACCAATGCTATGACACACCCTAGGACCATTGGAAATCTTTGTATCGAGTAGTATGAGCTCCCAGATTCTCCATAAATTTAAAGCCTGGCTTTCTGGGAAAACCTTGAGAGGCAAAAGGACAGCTGGAAAGTGAAACAGAGACAATGTTATTCCTAACCCATCCACCTGCACCCACCCCCAAAATACACAATCACTTTGTTTGCGGTGGTACATCTTCCTATTTTAAATTTGGAATACATATTCCGGTCATGATTTGAAAAACATTAATCTTTATTACATGTATTTCAGGAAACTTTCATATATAAGTATGGTTTCTCATTCTTGCCCAGAAGTTCGTGAGAATAATATTTTAAAAGACCCCTTCCTATTTTTTGCTAACCGTTTTTCTACATTATCTTCATTTTATATCCCCCCAAAAGGTTGCTGATCATGATCAAAAACACGTTGCCTAACCGAAACCACATGGGTTTATACACGCCGTTCAATTTATTTACATTTTTTTCCGTGAAGGAGGAAGCGCATGGATGAAAGATTAAAGAAAATTCCGGATGTACAACATCACCCGTGCATGGACTTCATTTTAGTACTACATATTGTGCTTGAAGTTGCATAATATCTATAAATAAATTTAATTAAAATAGGAAACGGAAATTACGTTTAATAGAATAAATTAGACAATATATTTGATACAAGAACCATCTGATAAATACATGTATGTATATGAGCAAGGTGAGTCTCTCTCTCTCATTCATGTATTTTTTTTAACCAAGAAAAATAATGTGCGTAAGATACAAGTTCATTATTTTAAAGAACATACTCAATTACATGTACATGATGTATATAAAGTAAACAATACAAATGGTTTGACTATGCTGCCAGTTATAATTTTAACAAGTAAAATTAAGTCGTAAAAATGGAGTAATTACATGTAATAATGATAAATTTGTAATATTCAGTAGCTGCAGATTGTTATAAAAGTTCTTAAATTTTCAGTTCTGGAAATAGAATGCAGGTTTATTACTTCTTACATGTACAGTGTATATATAACCCGCTACCTATATTTAATCATGGAACAAATGAAAATTAAAATGTTAGCACACTATACATGCTATACTTAAAAAAAAAATAATTTACGGGTTTTGAATTAATGATAAAAACAAATTAAGTTTGATTCATTGCTTTAAACTCTTAAATTATTTTTTTCAAATTTACTATCAAACCTGTAATATAAATAGGCATTGCGCAGCACAGAAGTTGCTTATGAAGTTCAGA